TTTGATTATTTCTTCATAAGCATTTATAAACCACACAGTACACTAAATCTCCTGGAAAAAAAACGAAGAATAACTTTGATCCTTGGCGATATGAATTTACAATAAATATTTAGTCACAATTTTGCATTTTATATTACACCCACAAACTGTGCAGAGAAGAGCACTCAACATTTGTAAATCTTAATTAAGGATCTGCTAGAATGTGCAGGTTGTTCTTAGTTTTGATTTGGCCCTGTTGTTCGTGTGCCTTTTAAGATGGTTTCCATTTACACAATTGCTTCAGGTTTTTTGGGTTTTATTATTTTTTTTAACAAGTTCACTCATACTGCCTTCATCACAGAAAATATGACAGCATTTAATGAACTGCTTCTAGGTGTTTTATTTTAATTGTGCAGACTTAGGATGTATTTATTTATTGTTTACTCCACTGGAGTAACACTATTGTTTCTCTTGTTTGCTTTTTACTAACATTCAAATATATATATCTGTTTCTTTCATAAGCACTGACTTTCATGATAGCTTTCACAAGCATGGGAAGGAGATTTATCTTTTTTTGCAGATAGCTAGCCAAAAATTGTCAAGTTTCAATTGATCTTCAGTATCCAATTTTAGGTACCTGAACTGGTAATTGTTTTGTGTGCTAAGTATTGTATGACACTTGTCCTCAAAACACAACATCATCTGGCTTTCTTTGCAAATGCCTTTGGTTTTTTTTTCAGTCTGAACCTGGCTAACAGGTACTCAGAGTGTAAAGAATGCACCATTTAGTTGAGCACACAGGAAAAGGTTTAAGTTTTAAAATGTGATATAGAGATTACTCTTTTTATTGCAAGAGATTATTGCAAGAGGTCCTGAGACCCTTCAGTTTTCTCCTATACTCCTCCTAGCAGAGAATCTTCCTTCCCTACACCCTTTTCTTTAAGAGCATTAGGTCAGAATGCCACTTTCTCCTTTTGCATCTCTAGTTTGTGTGTTTGTTTTCTCACCCCTTCTTTCCCTCACACCCCATTTAACATCTGATACTTACCTTTCTGATCCCTGAGAAATCAGGTTTATTTTCTCCCCAGGTTTACTCCACTTCTTTGCTTGGAGCCAATCTTCTCAACCTACCCAGGTGTTTCTCTTGCCTGTCTCCTTCTGTACATGTGATTGTTTGCACTAGTATTTGTGTCTTTTTGCCCTTACTCCTTTTGTTTGACTTTTGTTGCTCCTATTTGAATGTTCTTTGCCCTAGTGTAGCTATAGGAACTGGTTGTTTTCATACTGCTTCCCTCTCCCCCTCACGCTATTTCTTTAATATTGTTTGCTTCTGCCAGCATCAGATGCTCTAATGAGAAAGAGGGGGCAGGTCCCTTATCTTCTTCTCTCCTCAGCTCCTTCTTTTATTTTTGTATTGACGGCTCCTCAGTATGAAACCCTGTCCTAGCCATTATGTCTGCTTTGTCTTGAAAGAAAAGATTACAAGGACCATGGACTACTGACTTCTGGCATTTTCCTCCTTCCCCATTCTTAGGGGTGCTACTGCTGCTAAAATAACTTCGTGTTGTGATTACCTGTACCAGGTACGCAGCTCCATTAAAGTTGACAAAGGTTTTGTTAGTAATATTGTGTCAGCCTGTTAGAACAGCCAGTATTAATAGATAAAAGCCTTGAGAAAGAATCTACTTTGGTAGAAGTAATGGCTGTTCCAGTATCATCTTTCCATCCTGTTTGTGAAGTCTGTGGTAACTTCTTGTCAGAGGTCCTACTTGCCAGAGCCGCTGATGACAGCAGTGGATCTGATGCTGGTGTCAGGCTGGGTGGAAGCTTTTATCAGCCTCTAACTTCCTTTCTTTGAGTCCTTTAAGCGCCTGGTAGTTGGCAAGAAATTAAACAGCAGGAAAATAAAGTCCAAAGCTGACTCTTATGGCACTGCCCTAAGGAGACAGGAGACAGGCAGTTTCCTAATCAGAAGTCTGGCTTATCCAGCAATTTCTGCCACTTCCGTCTATGTCCAAGAATGTGTTTGGGGAGGGAGTGGGGAAGGAAAGGGAGGAAGAGGACTGGAGGAAAAGCACCATCAGGCCACTCTTAGTGGACCACGTACAGTATCTAATTAAAGATACTGATGGTCCACCTCTTCAGTGCCACACAAGCCCTACCCCTCTCCTTTTATATGCCACCTGGCATGTCAGTGACAGTTGTATTCATGTTCATATACACCAAGCTGGTCAGCTTCTATTTTGATAATGACTTCTGGGAGGTTTGGTAAGTTTTGAATGTTTTGAAGATCTGGTCAACTTGTTGTAAACGGTGGCATCAGTTTATTTTCACTCAGGCGGCATGGCATGAGGAAGCTAGATTGACCTTTTCTGCTGTAGTTATACATATGGTGACCAGATAGAATTCAATGAGCAAACAAGTTTTTCAGCTCAGCAAATGACTGAGTGTTCACCTGGAGACGTTGTTCTCCACAGAGTGGCAAAGGAAGTAAGGTGGATGAATGCTGGGCCCTGTTGCCCTTACTGAACCTTGATTTGTCCATTGGGCATTCTCTGATGGCAGTGAAAAAAGTGCTGGAGCATCTTGTCAGAGATCCCTTCTCAGAGATCAAGGGGGAAGGAACATCCTTTTGTATAAAACTAACTGGCACTCATGTCAGTAGGCTCCTTTTTGAAGGCCCAAACATCTTTATCACTCTAACCCTTCATCTGCTGTTCCCTGTGAAACCTCAATAAATACTGCAGTTCACTGCACATTACAGGAAGTCCTGTTTTAGATATTATTGTTCTCTAGGCTGAATCCTCAGAGAATGGAGAAGTTCAGCGCAATATGGGTTGTGTGCATCCCAGCATCAATGGAGGACCACTGCAATCTGCCTCCCAAGTCATATTTAGCATCAATTACGTGGGACCTGAAGTTGCAATCCATCCCTTTTTATAGCCATGCTGTTTTGTACAAGACCATTTTCAATGGTTTAACTGGGCTGAAACTCTGCCAGTACTGTTCCTGGACAAGGAAAGGACGGAATAGGTCACAGTCATACTGCAGGTGTATTAAGGCCCTTAATATCAAGGTTATTATTTTTGTGGTGGTTGTGCTCAGTGCTTTATTATCCATTAAAACTCTAGGTCATGATCTTTGATTGAAGACTGTGTTAAGACTGCTCCCTATTCAATCAGTTCTGCACAGTTTGTCTTATTTACTTCATCTCCTCAGTACAACTAGGCAGGTGTAGTTTACACTAATGATGCATTTCTCAAAGTGCAGGTTTTAGTGACCTGGTGTATGCCAAATCTTTAATTTAAAACCTCCCTCCAGGTTGTATGGGTCAGGAGCTCTGGCTAGGATTGCAAGGATTGCATCTGTGCCCAGTGCCATCCAACGGTGTGTGCACCTGCTATTCCCTCCAGGGCATTTGCTTCTGTTCAGAGAAATGGTGAACTAATTTTGTTTGCAGAATGATCTGGCTCTGCCAGCACCTTTCCTGAAAAGCATAGAGAGGGTTACTGGTCACCAATCCGCTCTTCTTCCCCAGGCTCAGGCAAACATCGGGAGCCTTTTGCTCTCCTGTGGCCAGCCTCCAAAGCAAGCCGGTGTTTGAGGCTGTGCTAAGCCTCCTGCTGGTAGGCAGTGCCAGAGGCCTGCTTTGCCTCCACAGCCAGGTTTATATTTTTGTCCACAGGCTCTGCACAGCCTCCATTTATAGTGTTCTTAGTTCAGCACGGTATTTGTTGATGCACGCATTCCTTTCATTTGCTGCTTCCAAAACGGCTGATAAGACCAGAAGCTCTTCCCTCTCCATTTGAGAGGGCTTGTTTGAGACCCAGTCCAGCTGAGATCCCCTCGCCTTGCTTTGTCCCGACCGTGCTGTATCTGCCTCAGCCTGCCTGCCTTCACTTTTACACTGCATCTCCTGCGATCCCTGCCTGATCCTGAAACCTCTGTGCCTCTCATCAAGTCACTCTAGAATTTTTGCTTCTTTCAGAAGTCAAGCTGGGACTGGCCCTGTTGCAGTGAAGTCACTGTTATTTTCTTCCTGACACTTCCCAGCCATTCAGAGTTCCGACACTGTATGAAACAAATGCTAAGCCCAAAGCATCCCCAGAGTGATCCAGGGAACGGGCTGTATTGCACATGATGTAGAGCTTTGTGGCCTCTCTGCCCTGCTGGTGCCCATCACCTCCCTGTGTTAACGTTAGAGCTTCAGAGACAGCTCAGCCCAGAAGCTGTGGGCAAATAAAGACTGCAGAGTGTCAGGCTGGAAAAAGGAGCCACAGTACGCAATCCCCCCTAGAGTGTAGTGGGAATAGGTGTAAGGAGGAGCCCCAGGGCAATGTGAGCATGTAGTCAAGAACAGGAAGCACTAAGGGATGGTTCACCTGCTGTATGTGGAGGTTCAGCCCCAGCAGCACAAGGTGTTTCACAACTGAATGAGCCTAAGGAGGTTGTAATTTTTAGAGGCAGACAAGGCAAAGTTATCTCTACTAGACAAGTGTTAACAGCTGTTTCTAAAAACTTTCACTGGAGCAAAGCTTTACAGGGGCAGCCAGAAGTACAACCTTGATATTGCTCCCTCCCAGCCCCCCAGCCTTTTGAATAAAGGATTGTTGGACTATTTATGCAAGGGCAAATAACGTTATTTTTGGAAATGACTGAATTATTTTCATTACTTTTTTTCCAAAAGAAAAAAAAAAAAATCAGCCTGAGGCAGACACCTGGCATGGAAAATTTCAGCTTGCGTGGTAAAAGGCTGGCAGAAGTTACCGGGTGGGCAAATAAAGATCAGACAAAAAAAAAAAAAAAAAAAGGAAAAAAAAAAGGGGAAAAAAAAAAAAAAAAAAAGGCAAGCGTTAAGCAGACCTCCCTGTCCCGCCGGGAGCTGATCCCTTGTGTCCCGCGGTGCTCCCGGTGCTGGCAGCGGCGGCGCGGGGACCGGGCCCGCCACGCGGCTTCGCGTGGGACCGAGCGCGCCGCCCCCGCGCCCNNNAGCGGGCGCGCCGCCGAGGCGGTCCGGGCTCAGCCCCCGGTGCGGCGGAGCAGTCGCGGCCGCCCCGTCCTGAGGGCACCGGCGCCGCCCGCCTCTGCCAGGCAGCGCAGCCCCCGCGTCCGGTTCCAGCTCGCCGTTCTTCTGCCGCTCCGCGCCCTTTTCTCTCGCTCTGTCTCCCGGGCGATCTCGGCGGGGCCGCGATGGAAGAGGAGCGGGCGGGCGAGCAGATGAGACCGTTGCTCACCACGGTAACAGGGGGTGCGGTGCGGTGGGGGGCGCACAAAGGGGCCGCCACGGGGCAGCGCTGTCCCGCGTCCTGCCCGGGGGTCGTGCCGCTGCCCTCCTGCGGGGGCACGGCGGGGCTGCCCCCTTGCCGTGGCTCCCCAGCCCTCGGCGGCGGGATCCTCGGCCGGGGGTCCCGGCCGCTCTCGCCCGGTGTCCCCGCGTGCCGGCCGAGTGCGCGCGGCCGTGTCTCCCCCCCCACCTCTGCCATCCCCGGGGGGCGGCGGCGGGGCCGGAGCCTTTTGTTCGGCCGCGAGCTCCGTGTGCTCGGCGGCCGCGGCCGCCCCGTCCACCCCCCCGTTCCTTTGTGAGAGCCCCGCAGGGCTTGTGCCGGCGGCGGTGGGCGGCGCGGCCGCCCCTGGCCTCGCCTTTCTCCCTGCCCCGCTGGCTGACGAGTTCCTGGGCGAGGGAGAAGTGCGCACACATGGCAAGCGGCGAGCTTCCCCTTGTCCTCGTGTTGCACGGCGGCGGGGTCGGCTCCGGTGGTGGGCACGCTTCCCCGGCGGGCTTCTAGTCCTGGGGAGTGGAAGTGTTGGTGAGGGGGAGATAGGTAGAACTACGGAACCTGGGTTCATTTCCTTCTCGGGCCGGGTGGCTCAGTGAAGCAGGCATGTGTTGCCTTCCTGTGCTGCAAAAATACATGTGGTTCCACGCTTGTAATTTCCCCTCCCTTCAGATGACTCAAGGTCTGGATTTTGTTAATGAGCCTCTGAGCTCTTATTCTGATGTTCTCCTTCAGGGCCTTTTCCAAAAAGGTGTCGCACAGGGATTTGTCTTCAGTGCCTGAAGAGGAGGGATGTGTAGTTTGTAACACAAAGAATGCTGTGATGGATAGAGAAATAACACTGGAAACACATGAGTTTTCATAGTCTTTCCGTTACTCTTCAAGGAGAGACTTGAGTCACATTTGATAAAATTGGCAGTCTAATGAAGTGCTCGCTTCCTGTGACATCAGTATGTTCAGTGTGTTTTTCCTTTGTTATAACAGGAGTGTTGATAACTTAGTGGTTAGAAGGGCCGTGAATTTTGCATATGTTACAGTATTTGTATGTTGGCTTCAGGAATTAATGCTTGTGCTCATGTTGAAAGGTTTTGCAGATGTGTTCTAGACCATTACTCCATCTTGTCACTGCTGCAGAAAAGGTATATTTCCAATTCATGTTAACTTCTTCAAGATAGATTCTGTGTAAGAGCAGACTGCTTAAGAGGTTTAATTCATATTAAAACTAACTTGCCCCTCTGTATGACGTATTTCTTCTTAGCTGGCAGGAGAATACTCCCTATATATAGCAAAGAGATGCTAAACTGTGTGGAAGGAGTTGAAAAACTTTGAGCTTCAAGTGTGGGTTTGCAGTGGAAGATGGTAATGGTTACCATCTCCAGTGATTTGTAAGGTGAATCCAAATGAAAAGAGTATTGCAGATGTAATGAAAGTCAGTGTGCCCTGAGCACATTTGTTGATTAGATGTCATTTAGATTCTGTTAATTAGAAATTAATTTTTTTGGGATGAACTCCTGTATTATTGCGTGGTCATTTTTGATGCGGCTGTTTGGAACAGAAGTGCTTACTGGAGTGGTCCAGATTGGTTTCCTTGCAGCAGCAATACCTGACCTTGGTGCCAAAGTGTATTTGGGAGGTAATTCCAGCTGAGTTGAAATGGTTAGAAAAGTGAGAGGGCAGAAGAGTTGATAGGAACTGGAACAAAGCGATTTCTGGGGAAAACACAGGAATTAAATAGCTTACAGAAAGACAAGATATACTGATCTTTGGGTAGTTGCATAGTATAGCAGTATTGGATTTGTTGTGGGTTTCATATGCAAGAGGTGTAATTTTATATACAAGAGAGCTACTTAATCCCAAAGATGAGTATTTTTGACAATAGAGCTTGACGTAATTTTTCTAATCCTGTGTTTCTTGACAGTACAGGCTACTTTCCTGCTTGCAGAGAAACTGCTAAAACTGCTTACATGTGCATAACTTTTTCAGAAATAAACATCTCAATAAGATGGAAGGGCTTTGTAAAAAAGTGTAGATCAAATCTGAGAGCTTCATTGCTGTGGCTTAAAAATACAGAAGTGTAATCAAACAGAGGAGTCCCTAAAAATTCCTTTTCTTCCTTCCTCTCATGTTGTTTCTGTGTTCATAGAATATTAGATATGTAATGTGTTAAGATCTGGTGGCTCTCTTATGGCGGAGCACTTCTATTGGTCACAGGCTGCCTCCTCCCCCTCCCATTTAGTTTATCAAAAATACAAAAAAAATCCTTGAACCTTGCTTGTTTTATACTTTAGGTCCAGTCTTACAGAAGAGAATGAATAAGTCTTTGGAACTTTGGTGTTTTGAAGAACCTGATTAGTGGCAATATGTACTTGAAGGTTGGAAGAACGAGGTGAAACAAATGCCTGATAGTTACTAGAACCAGAGAGCAACTGATGATCAGAACATCTGGGATGACTAGAAAATACAATAGGAAAAAGATACATAACTGCATAAATCCATGGTTCTTTCATACCTGACATACTCTTAGATGTTCTGCCCCCATCTTAAAAAAGATGCATTATTATTGGAAAATGTTCACTGAGTAACAAGAGGGTATGAATTTAGTTCAGAGGTGATAAAGGATTCAACAGTCTAGGACTTGTCAGCCTAGCATCATCATTCTAGTAGAGATGGTAAGACTAGTGATATGGTAAGGCTCTATAAAACTCCTGTGGATAAAGTAGATGAACATGGAAGAGGAGGCACACAGTGAAATCAGACTTAGGTGCTCCGTTCAAAACAAACAAAAGAAACTCGGTGTAGGGATTCACAAGTATAGTTGCTATACAATGTATACAGTGTGAACTTAAGGGGAGTTTGGACAAACATTGGAAGACAGATACATTGAGGTTAGTGAATGGATGAGCAACAGCCCCAGGAAATCTGATTTGAAAACAGCTGGAGGTTGTGAGTGTAAGGAGGAGGAGTTGTATGCTTGTCTTGTTTTTCCTCTTCCCTCAACAGCTACTTATGGTAATTCTTGTTGGGTTTTTCAAAATAGGGGTGGGACGTGGTAGTTTGTTTTCTATACAGTGGTGAGTTTGACAGTTACAGTTATGATATTAAAAATGCTTGATACTACATATGAGTGATCTTAGCTCTAGCTTTTGTCATTATGGTGTTCATTACTGTAATTGGTGGGCTTCTTTGCAACAGCTGTAAGTAGCATTTAAGTGAATGTGTAGTGCAGTTCTGTCTCTAGATGTTTTGCAGGTAATATTTTCAAAATACTTTGTTTTCTTAAAGTAGATTGAAACTTTTTTCTGTTAGTTTTGATACTACTTCATGTATATGAAGATATTCACAAGACTGTAGACCATGCAGTATAGTTAAGTAATGGGTTTGTTTGTGTCTTCTTTCACTGAAACACAGCTGTTTTTATCATTAATTCCACTGTAGATGATGATAGAACTGAAAGTGGCTCTGTTGGAGAGGGGCATGTTTCCAGGGTTCTCCTTCTGGCTTTCCTAATCAAACCAGTGAAGTACTGTGGTCTGCCTTATCTCACTGAAGAGCGCATTAGTGTCACAGTGCTTTTTCTGAAGTGGCTATGTGGTTGGCTACATCTTTTTAAATTTTTTTAACAGATGATGTGCTTGCACATTATCAGGTGGGTTGCAGTCACTGTCCTCTGCTGTCATCTTATTCAACATAAGATGACATAAGGGGCTTCTGTGATGTGAAGTCCAACGACAGGTCTCTGCATACAATTTTTTTTTCCTACTAACATAGTGAGCTCAGACTGCTGCTTTGCCTTTATGGCTGGACAAGGGTAACTGAGGGTATGTTTGTACTGCATAATTGAGGGCTGTGCAGGAAACTCTCCTCCCCCACAGGTTTGTGGCATCTGGCTGAACAAATGCTCTGCACAAGTTCAAGTAATACTGTTATAGCTGTGTGGCAGTGCCCTAGCTAAAGAGCCCTGATCAGAGAGAATTGTACTGGCTTGCCAGCCTTGCAGACTTGAAGCCATGACTTTGGAGAGACAAGCTGCTTTTCTCTGTTGTGCTGTTTGGGTACGGTGTGTACCTCGTAGGGCTTGGACTGTGCTGTGGCCCTCTGTAAGCTTTTAAGTGTATGTCTGGCAGTCCTTCTGAGTTCTTGAAAAGTTACCATGGCTGTCAAAAACTTGTTGTGTTATTTGAGTACTTTCATTGTAGTAGTTCTATTTTCTGTCCAGAATAAGCTAGGGGTGTACCAAGAGTAGTTTTTGGTTTATATCCATGTCATTTATCTGCCTCTGCAGGTGACTTTTGACATGTTACCAAATTCGTTGTGGGCCTTTGAATATTGATGCTCATTACACAAGGGTATCTGCTGCACAGGACCTTGAAGCAGTAGTAATACTTAGTAAACAGAACTGCTCTATAACTATTATTAGATTAAAAAAAACACCCCAGAGTATACTTTGAGTATACTCAAACTTGGCTGGAGAAGGTCTGCAATGAATATTGTCATGGTTTTGGTGTAGCACATTCTGGAATGATAAAGTTTAGGAACACACCAGATGTTTTTTGCCAAAATGAAGATAGATGCCCAGCTAATGTTTTGAAATAGTGCTATGAATACTGAAATTCAACTGAGTGTTTTGTAAGTAAGGATGCAGAGATGAGCACCAACTATTACTTAGCTGTAGATCAGAAAATATCTGAATGGTAAAATGAGAATTTTGATTATTTTACAGTTCATCTTGCATTATTCCTAAATATTTGCACTTCTAAATTAACATTTGCAAAATTACCAGTAGCTGAAAGTATTACATTATTTTTAAAAAAGACCAACATGTGTTTGAAATGGCCCAAATCTCAAATCTACCTTGCTGGCATATCTCAACAGCTATTGGAAGGGATTATCTGTCTAAGAGACTTGTGTTCGTGTATGGCACCTTCGAGTTCCTTGTTTCACTGGGAATTAAATTCTCTACGC